CGCCATCGGGGGGCCCACGCCGCGTTATCCGCCGTATCCCCACCCGGCGAGCAGGGCCCGCCGCTCCAGAGCTGCCTCCAAAGCGTGTCCCCCTCGAAATCGACAGAAAAGCTCGCGCGCACGGGAGGCCCCACACTTACTTGGGTGAGCGCCGGCTTGAGAAGAGGCCTGGGTCTCGCGAGAGCTCGTCAGATCTCGGCGGCGGAAAGGAAGAGGCGGAGCTAAAGGACCGGAAGTATCACTGAGACAGGGCGGGAGCCTAGAGAGTCCGGAAAAGGGCTCCAGGGGCCGGTGCGCCAGTCACACTCACCAAATTCGCACGGCTGGTAAGTTCCGCTGGGACCTGCAGTCGGTGCGTGTGGATTCCCAGCTCAGGGACCGGAGGACAGGAGAGCAGTGGGGAGGCGACTCCCACACACGCTTCTGCACGGCTACTGCTTGGCCCTCCAGTGTGTCCACAGCGAGTTCTCCTTAGGCCTCCAGGACAGTGCAGGTGTCCTTGCACCCAGGAGCTCAGCCCCGCTCGCCATGAGAGTTACTTGACAAGCCTGGGTGAGGCATCCTCAGGCGTCACACTTGTGCTGGCATCGTTCTTGTTAACAGGTCCCTGTAGGGGCACCATTGCTGACCACCTGTAGGGTCATCACTTAAATCGGTTAAATAAGTAACAAAAGAACATTGCCCCTGGAAGATTGCAGTTAAAATGCCCGTAGCTCAGTAATTTCCCCACGTCCCATCGGCTACCAGGGGGGCATTTTCTACTGCTACTCAGGCTGAGGGGCAGACTGGTCAGACCACCCAGATGACTAGCGGAAACCTGGGAGTGCCTATGGAAGGATGGGGCGGGGGGCGGGGGGCGGGGCCCTCCCAGCGCATTTGACACCCAGAGTGGTTAGCACCCTTCTCCCGCCAACGAGTTTTCTTAGCTACACCCCTACCATGATCCGTTGTAATTCATTATTTTAGAACCAATAATTAGTAGTTAAAAAGCATAAATGTCCATTTCAAAGACATTATTCAGATTTAATAAAACATGTAATGTGCAGACTAAAATCTGCACTTTAATGAACATATTTCACGGGTAGTTCTCACCGCCCCGTTCCCGTTTTAAGTTTTAAACACAAGTGGTCTCTGTGATAAAGGCGCGCAGCCAGCAGTTCACTTGGAGAAGCGGCCTGTAAGTAGGTGTGACCCCGCGATCACGCTGGGGGGCGGGGTGCAGCTGTCACGCAGCACCTTCGCTGGGCCCCTCGGGAACCCTCTGTTCATTTACAACCCACCGGCTTCCCAGCCCGGAGGGCGTCAGGCCCCGCCCACCACTCCCAGGCCCCGCCCACACCCCGCGC